AGTAAATAAAATGTTTCAAAATTCATGTTAGGTGCCATAACTGGCAAATGTTTAAAACGGGATAAGGGAATTGAGTGGGAGTAGGGCATACTTGGAATAAGAAACGTGAGATATTGCAAATAGAAACCATCTCTATTGGTGACAGTTACCTTGAAATACTTAAAAAATTTTTTTACTATAAAAGTTTTCTTAACAATCAAATGTGGAATGTTAATGTTAATGTTAATCAAACTAAATGAAAAACAAAATGCCAAAGAACGAGTTATACGCTTTGTTGAATTCTTTCAAGATAGTAACCTGGTGGTTCTTAACAACTGTGTAAATTACCAAAAAACGCCTTTATACTTAAGGGTTTCCTCAAGATTGCGAAGAAATAATTGTAAGAAATCAAATACATTCATTTGAAACGTCAGTCGACACTATGAAAAAAACTTTAAAAACCAAAAAGCCTAAACCAATAGGGAAATGACGGGGTTCAATGATGTCCAAAGACGTCAAATACTAATCAAATATTCAGCTAGACATCCAGTTAGAATTAAAATCCAATCGCCATGGCAGAAACCCAGATCAAAATATATCTACTGTTCATAGATTTCGAGAACCACAATCTAACAGAGAATGCACAATTTAGTCAAATCGCGAGGTCTTCCAGGCCGTCAACATGCGAAAATCCCCATGCAGTGTAAGGAACCGATGCGAATTCCCCTAAAATACCTAAAATTTAAAGAGAGGTGTAAGAACATTTTATAAAGTTGAAAAATCTGTAACACTCTTCAAGTGAGATTGGAAAAAGAAGTATATATGAAGGTATGTATAAGCTTGAAACAGCTATAATAAAACCAGAAGTAACAGCTCAGACTTTTATTTCAAATAAGAATTTACTAAACATTAACCAGTAACAGTTTGATCATCGAAACAAGAAATACATCAGAGATATTTTCAGATATGAGTTTAATGAATCAACCAATTTTGGAATTTTGTTCAAATATTTTATGGTGGTCAACACTGTTTGTTGGACACTGATCTTACAAATTTGTTTGCTGACTATTGTCAAACAGTTTGTTCTGAAAAAAATATTCCTCTGGTGTATTTTTTTATAATAATATTGCTATCGGTTATATTTATATTTCAATATCCAATATTTTTGAAGAAATTTGTAATCTAAATTATTTTAAGGGAGCTGGTCCTGATGGTAATCCTTCGATTATTTTAAAAACTTGCAGTTTTTCTTATTGCCAGGCCCCTATACAAATTTTTAAGGAGTCTCTTAAATCAGTTGTTTTTCCTGAATTTTGACAGATAAATTACTTGACACCAATTTATAACTCTGATAACAAAGCTGATGTATATAATTTTTTAAAGTCTTAAAATTAAATTAACAACATAATTTGGCACGCCCTGATGGTACATCTCACATCATTTGGAACGCCCTGGTAGGACAACATACTTTGATTACTTATTGCTAATTCAACTTAGAAATTGTTTTAATGAAGGATTATTTAATCCAAATCTTCATACTCAGTTGGTTCCAACATCTGGCTTTCTACTTATGTGGTAGAAAGGAGACAAATCACCACATAATTAGAGACCAGTATGCAGTTTTAGTTGCATTCCAAAGTTTTTGGGAGTATCAATACAAAATATATGACTTCATTATGTAAAGGGACCACAATTGAAGTAAAATTTGGTTTTTATGTCAAATAAGTTGATACTTCTGACATATGTGAATTTCTTGTCAATCATCCTGGATGATGATGGATCCAGGCAAATACATGTAACTAATATGAATTTTTCTAAGTCATTTGATATAATTAATCATGTCTTGTGGAGAACAGTCTTTATGAATTACTGGTTCAGCAGCTATCAGCTATTTCGAACAGAACTATTACAGAATAATTGTCAAGGTCAGCTGTTTTCAATCTAACAAAATAAAATTCCCATATATGGTGCCTCAATGATACCACCTAAAACCCCTTCTATTTAGTATTTTTGTTAGTTGGTGGTGATTGTTTCTATCATAGTAAGCTTCTGAGATTTGCAGATAATCTTAACCAGTATGTCTTAAATAGGTTGGTTGTGGTGTGAAGTGAAGGAGGTTAATGTTGAAAAGAATAACTGCATTTATTTCTCCAAAAAAATTAAATATGTACTTATAACACAGAAAAATTAAATCAATTTATTTATTGTATTATGTTTTAGTAATTAAAGATCTGGGAGTTTATGATACATCCATAAGCAAAGAAATATAACAAATATTTTTGGGGTCTTCTTAAGGTGCCTTCTCCATTACTGAAGGTTGGTCATAACTACAGCAAATTGCTCTCTATCTTGAGCTGTTCTTAGTATTGAATGTGTGTTTATGCCTGTCCAGTCTCTTACATTCTTCAACCAGGAGCATTTTCTTCTTCCTGGACCTCTTCTTCCTTCCACTTTCCCTTCCATTATAAATAAGTCGTCCATAATAATTTTTGGGGTAAGGAGATCTAATTTTTTTTTAAGATATTGCATTCGCTTGTTTGGTGAATTGCTTACCAGAATTTGATTTAATTACCAGTTAGTATCACTTTATAAAGGCTATAATGGATCCATGGGTACAGCGAGTATTATTTTCAGGGAGGTGCATCTGCATCTACACATTATACTATTAACCAATATAAAATATAGACATATATAGCTAGGTACCTACTACCTTTCCAGACAGGGGGGTGAGACTTACACCCCTCTGCTGGTGCCCATGAAAGGGTCTAAGTATATTGATAGGGTAATATGTGTCTGTTTGTATTTTCTTCTTGAGTATATTTGATTTTATTACTCTTTTCACTTCAAGTAATTGTTGTTTTGTTTTTTTATTTTATAAATGTTTTGTTTTTAGACACATACTATGTAATGAAAAATATTTTTATTAAATTTGTAGAGTAATTGGTAATGTCTATATAATTTGTGGACCATTGAAAATATTCTGGTTGTGTTTATAATATTAAAGAGATATCAGAAGTCACAGAAAAATAACAATCATATTAGCTGAGGTAAGAGCTACAGGAAATTATACTAAAGAGCTACTTTCAAATAATAGTGGTGAGTTTGATAATGAACACATTAAAATAGTTTTCTAAATAAAAAAGAAATAAGCTAGAGCTTGATAATGAGATAATTGTACTAATCATATTAATTGTACTATTATACAACGGTTGGAGATAGTAGTAGTACTGTGGAATATAAGAGATATGTTTTATCATTTAACCTTTGAAATTGAAAGAACTCAAAATGTACCTGAATAGTATTTTTACAGTAGTAGGTAATTCTGTTTTTGAGTATTATTTTCATATATCTCCAAAATAATCGAAAAATTATTCAAACATACTTGAATAAAACAATTATATGGAAAGACAAATTTAACTCATTTTATTTATATTTGATGTATTATACATATAACATAAGTAAAAAGCCCATGTAAGAAATTAATTGTAACATTAACATTAAAGAAATTTTTAAATTTAATTAAGTAGTATTTATAGTAATAATTTAATTTTTAAAATTAAAATTAATAAAGAAAAAATATACTTTAAATATACTTTGATATTGTGTATATAGTGATGGCTAGATATCATGAATACCAAACTTTAATTTGTCATTGATAATTAATCAAACTGTTAAAGCTATGGTTAAATGGCACTTTAGTGAAACCACTTTTATTTTTAATAAATTTAAAATATCAACAAATAATTAACTGAAGACAGATTAATCATTCTAGAAACCCCTTGTTTATCTCAAACTAATAATATAGTACTGAAAATATTATCAGTAAAATACTAGATCTGAATATCTAAAATTGGAAAATATTTTTAATAAAATTGCTTCACATTGTTGAAAAGACACAACATTTAAGCACTTTTTATCAATAATAGTTTTGTCATCTACAACAGTCAGTAAATTCTTAGGTGTAAAAGTTTGTAAATTTGTATATTTTAGGTTTTGGCTCTAATATTCTGGTCAAAAAATGTTCTGAGGGTATAATTCCTATTTACATAAGGTATTTTCCCATAATTTAATGTGTAATTAGTAGACAATGTAAGTTATAACACAATAAAAGAGAATAAAGCATATACATGAACTGCATAAAAAGTATTGAAAATTGAATAAAAAATATTACATTTTAAAGAAATATTCTTGATATCAAACAAGGTATTTTCTCATGATTTTATGTGTAACCGTTGTAACTAGTAGTCAATGTAAGTTATAACACAATATAAAACAACAATGCATGTAGATGCATGGAGTCCATAAAAAGTTTGAAGATTGAATTAAAAAGATTACAAGCATATTTTCAAATTAATAATAAGCACAATTATTAACATTTTAAAAAAATATCCTTGATAGGTACATTTTTAAGAGAAATAGACCACATAAAAATACTTATATTTTCTAGATTTCTTTAATGGTTGTTAAAATATAATTTCTGTCTCTCATCTGTTATATTTTAGCTATGTTAACAGTTGAATAGGTTGCATGAGATTATAATATTTGGATTGTACTCATTGTTATGATTTATGCTTGATTTCTTTACTAAAAATGAATTGTTGTAAAGCTAACTACTGTAAATATTTAAATACTTTTACATTGTTGTGTATTGAAATGAATGTTGTATATTTGAAATTCATAGGTACCTATTTACTTAAAAAAGGTAAATTTATCAAAAGAATGATTAAAACTTATTTAAATAAAACATTCCATTCCAAAAGACAAATAACATACCTAGGTGGCAATAAAATAGTGAATAAAAAACAAAGCAAATATACCTAAGTACGGTATATTATAATTATACAGGAAGTTGCAAAGGGTTAGGGGTTTTGGAAAATGAGTAGATAGGTATGTAGCCGTGAACAAAAATATAAACAAACAATAAACTTATATTAATCTACTCATTTATAGGTAATATGTAGTCACAAAATAAAAGAATTATAATTAAATACTATTAAATAGACAAAATAGGTAGTACTTACCATAAAAAGATTTTGGATAGAAAATTTGCTTTTTCTTCGGGAGAATTTTTCACATACTTTTTTGTTGAATCCATACTTAAAAATTTTCTAATTTATGAGTTAAGTATATAAAACTGAGGTACTAGAACCACTTGCCTTATTTTACTATGATGTTATAAACACATACTGAATACAATGTCTTTTTCTTAAACTGTTGATACCCAAAACTAAATCGTAGTTATCAGGGTAAACAAACACTAATATTATCAACTATTACATTGCAAAATTAAATATTACATTTAATGACAAAGATAAATGAAATAGGACTAAGTTTTAACCAAAGAGGTTATGTTGTCACGAATAGACAAGTAAAATAGTTCAGAACTGGGCTTAGCTCACCCACAACAACAAACGACGAATAACGAGTATCGACTACTGATACTGAAACATTAAACTGTGACTGAACACTGAACACCACAAAACAAAATAAAATCCGTATAATAGATAACAGGAAGGACAGAGCCGTAGTGAGGTCTAGGCAATACTTTGATAGTGAAGATGTCTCATTTCTAGGATACTATTATAATATATCCATTTACCGATAAATTGAATTCTAAAATACCAGTAAAGGACGAGATAAAACTTAATTATTAAGATAACAAATTTTATCAGTCAATTATTTACTTTTTTTAAATTATGCAATATTATATTATAAGTTAACTATTAGGTGAATATGAACGAAATAGTAAAAAATGCGATTTAGATAAGACTACGTCTTTTCATAAAACGGTTCCATGTACCTACACAGTTTTTGTGGTATAACTATTGATGTTTAAAAAGAAGGATATTTGCCTATGTCATCACAAAAACAGAAGAGAAAATAAATACTAAACCTAAGATACATCCAGCAGTGATAGTATAGGATTAAAACATTTGAATGGATATCTAGAAGAAAATGAAATAGCAAAAATAATGAATAAAGAAGTGATTTAGATCAAAATTAATTCTAATACGTTGTCTAGTTAAAAGCAGTACTCAATACTACACATATGCGGATAATCAGGATAATCAAGAAAGCGATATAAAAGTAGTAGTCCAAAATCTACGTTGCACTTGTTAACCTCTAATCAATTCTAGACGGCGGACCTGAGAAAATGATATAAGCAATTGCAGCAGTCCCAGGGCATATTATGTAGGTAACGTATTAAGCAGACACAATATAATATGTCATAGTGAGATTTAGAACATCGGCAACAATTTCAGCAAATTTTCTCTGTCTTGGGTCTTTCTCCGCAAATCGTTTGAGCCGAATCTTGTTTGTTCAATCTAGTATGTTCTCAAATAGTGATAGCCGCTTTGAACTAATAGGATTCACTTCGTATTCACAAGCGTAAGTAATCGTCTCGAGATTCATCGAGACCAGCGTAAATGTAAGCTATGAAGTGTGAGCGTGAGTAACCTGCTCGGGTGTGAACGTGAGCTAGGAAGTGTGAGCGTGACCTACGAAAATTGGCGATTGGACGCTTCTCCACTCATTATGAAGTAATTAGTGCGGTCTACGAAACGGGAATAATCTCAGTAATCTCTTTAATCGAGCGCAGTCACAATATTACGCATATTTAAGATTTGAACCTTTGACAGGTTGCATGGTGTACTTTATTATCGCGTTGTCTGGATGAAATCTAAAATGGAAATTGAAAAAACTCGTTCGCAAATTCAATGTCTTCCCGGAAAAAGCAAAACTGACGGTCAAGCTTAAATAGAAAAATAATTAAATCACTGCCATCTTCATAAAAAGATGTGATTATTACACAACAAATAAATTTTATTGCAACAGTTCTTCGCCCATTGAATACAATAAAAGGTAAGATGTGAAAAAACATATTACTTAACTTCTAGAACTTTGGTAAGAACGGGTTGGTTTACCAGGAGAATACGATAGAATGAAAACTAAGTTACAATCACTTCTTAGAAACTCTGCAGTTTCTTTTACCACGTATTTATGAACAGAAGGATACACACCATAGTTGTTTGAGTCTGTGATCTCATTTGTTCGATAAGAATATGTTTTTTTTTTTATTAATATTGTACACCTGTAGGATGTTTATAGACACTACAGCCTGATCGATATTGATCAATAAGTAACTTTTCTATAACCTAAATCCCTACTAAAACTATAATTAAAGATAGACTCATTTGTAGTCCTTAGAATCTAATAGTTTTTTACACAAACATTAGCGTATAAGATTACCTATTGAGTTTTCTAATCAGATCCACATTGTCAAGAAGCTTTTTTTTTTTTTTTTTTTTTTTGGGAGGTGAGAATCTTCAAAAGACCGTCAGGGAAGGTGTCCCTGGTGTGTCGGATTCAGTCCGTCTCGCTGTACCGCGTGTCGAGACCGCCTACCGACTAAACTCACCTCCTCTTCCTCCAGCCGGCGGGTCTGGAACCGCTCTTAGCGAGCATGTCTGACCCGTCGACCTTACTCATAGCTCCCTCTAACACCCCCGTGAATTCCATGGATTGGTCAGCTTCACGGACGCCTCCCCCGCACAGCCAAGTGACCGAAGACGGGAAAGAGGGCGGTCGGGACGCTTCCCAACCCATGATGGAACCAACCCTAAGATGTCAGTCGGCAGTTACGAATAACTCCAGTCGTTCATACCTTCATCTATTCACTCTTTCTCATCCACCCCTTATTCTATACTTAGTCTCATTCAACTCCAGTCATTCCTTACTTTCATCTAGACACACCTACTCATCCATCTATTCATTCTAACATTTAGATGGGGCAGTCTGTGTAGGTCGGATGTAAAAGGTCCTTCCCTGCTGACTGTCTCCAGACGAAACACGACATAGTTTAAAGTAATAAAGAAAGAAATTAAAAAAGAAATAGAAAGAGAGAAAGAGGAGGAAGGATGAAATGAAAGATAGAAAAGAAGCCAAAAAAAGAAGAAGGAAAAGATAGATAACATTAACAGGAAAAGGAAATTGAAAGTGAAATTGTTCAGCAAACAATAACGTATAAATAAAATCAGATCAAGAATAAAACAACGATAAAGTAAATAAATATATAAAACTATGATAAAATAAATAAATAAGTAAAACCGTGTAAAAACAAAATAGGATAAGTTAAAATTAGACAGTCAGTGTGGTTTGGGTGTATATGGTCCTCCCCCCACTGACTGCCTTTTACGACACAAGACACGTTAAAAGATAAATATACGGTTATCCTGTCTGCAGTCGCCTCTCTTTTTCTTCTTTATGCTTTATTGTCTGTGTGACAAAAGCAATGATCAGGTCGAAGTCATGCTTGCTGTCGATAGCTTTATCAATTGGCTCGCGAGGCTCGCCTAGGGGGGATCCCAGGCCCAGCTGCAGTTCGGTGCGTCCAACGTGATATGCGGGGCATACGAACACGACATGCTGCGCGTCATCCACCACTCCGCACTCAGGACATAGATCGTTCTCGGTTTTTCCTATACGATGGGTGTATTTCCTGAACGATCCATGCCCTGTCAAAAACTGTGTGAAGTAATAGTTGACGCGCCGATGTCGACACCCGTACCACCTCACTGCGTCCGGGATCAGGGATCTCGTCCAGTCAGCCTTCCCGACTTCGGCTGCCCATTCCCTTTGCCACGTCTCTAGACTTGTAGCTCTTTCCTGTGGCCCTGAACCTATCGCTCCGTTGCCCCTTTGGTACATTCTGGCTCTCTCCCTGGCCAAGATATGCACCGGTACAGAACCGGCCACCACCTGTAAAGCAATGGTTGATACAGTCCTGTACGCACTGCACACCCTGATCAGGGGTTTCCTCTGAGCCCTAATAAGCATGTCTTTGTACTTTTTCATCCGAAGGACCTCGTGCCACACTGGAGCCCCGTATAGTAATATGGACAGTATTGATTGAAGCAATACTGTCCTCTTTTGGGATCCGGGTCCCCCGATGTTGGGCATTAACTTGTTAAGTGTTGAGGTCCTTTCTTCCGCCTTCCGACATGCTTCTTTTACATGCTGTCCGAAAGAGAGTCTGTCATCGAAGGTTATACCTAAGTACCTGACTGTCCTTTGGGGTCTTATTTCGGAGTCTTGGTATGCGAAGATTATATCGTTTCTTTTTCGTGGTCCCCTCAAGATTATTGCTTCTGACTTTTCTACTGCTAGTTTTAGGTCGTTCTTCTCTATCCACGCCGCGGTCGTTCTTATCGCATTATTTACCTTATCTTTTATTCCCCAATTCGTATCGTCTTCGACCAGTAAAGCTAGATCGTCCGCGTATGCTATCGCTCTCACTCCTCTCTTTTTGTGTATTTCTAGTACCCCGTTGTATAGTATGTTCCAAAGTAAGGGTCCCAGGACTGACCCCTGGGGTACTCCCGCGGTCATTTCTTTCTTTTTCTTCTTGGATATACATACGGATCTTTCCGATAAGTAGTCCTTTATTATGTTGGACATATACTCTGGAGCCCCAGATTCGACGATTCGGTCTACTATGAGGCCCCAGTTTGCTGAATTAAAAGCATTTCTTATGTCCAGCAGAACAAGGACCACCCATCTTTTCTTGCTTGTCTTGGCCGCGTCCCTTATCCAGTTTGCGGCATCGACTGTCGATCTGCCTTTTCGGAATCCGTATTGTTGGTTTGATAGCATTCTCTCATCTTCCAACACGCGCTCCAGCCGCCTCTTGATAAGTCTTTCATAGAACTTGCCAAGGCAGTCCAGAAGGCATATTGGCCGATAAGAGGCCGCTGAATCGGGGGGTTTCCCAGGCTTTAGCAGTAGGACCAAGTTCGCATCCTTTAAGTCTCTGGGAAACTCTTGCTTCTGCAGTAGGTCGTTGTATATTTTTCTGATCAAGCCTGGTTTCTCCGTTGCTAGTACTTTTATTGCCTCTGGTGGCAGCCCGTCAGGGCCGGGAGCTTTCCCTGTTTTTATCTCTTAACCAGCGGTTTTTATTTCCTCTTCCGTGAGCTCCTCTACCATTGTTGGAAATATTTTTATAAAATTTTGGGGATCCTTGGTAGGGAAGAGGAGTTCGGCTGATTCCATCCGCTGGTCTACGTCAAGTCTATATGGGGCGATTATCTTAAGCGTCTTCATGGTTATCTTGTACGCATCGCCCCATATATCTTCGTCCAAAGCTTTTATCAGGGTCTGCCGCTTTTCTTTTTTCTCTTGTTTTATTTTTTTGTTTAACGTTTTCTTTAGATCTTTATAAATTTCTTTGAGCTCGATGCTGCCCTGGCTTCTCGTATAATTCCTTCGAGCTCTGAGGCATCTCTCACGTAGACCTTCTATCTCATCCGTCCACCAATAGGGGGCTTTTTTATTATTCTTTTTCTTCACGGTGGCCAACTTTACTGCGCTTTCTAGTGCTCTTCTCAGTTGGCCAAGGTCAGAAATCTCCTTTTCATTGATCTTTCTGACCTCCGACAGGTACGTGCTTTTGTTGAAATAAATTTTTGTGTGTTCTATCGGCCGCCTTATTCCCCCTTTCATCTTTATTTCATATTTTATATACCGGTGGTAGGTGAATAACTGATCGTCAAGGACATCCCATTCGT